TAGAGAGTTTTCACCATTACATCTCTCTATTGTTAATGATGTGAAATTTACTTATTTATTTATTTACTATATTTTCTAAAAAATAATTAAGATAATTGTTATTATTTTTATTAAAAAAATCATAATAAAATTTTATTATTTTTAATGAATAATGATAATTTTGTATAAAACTTATATATATAATATTAATGTGTATATATATAAATGTTGTACAATTTAAACATTACACACAGAACTTTTTTTTAATATATATGTATAAACTGTTTGATGATGGTACCGAGTTGTATGGCATCATGATGTGGAAAGGCAATTGCACATGGATGATCAATGATCATGTGTGTAATGAGGTCAGCGCATGTTGCTGTTGTAGGGCCGACTTCGGTTGATTGTTACCAGGCATTCGTACGCTACAACTTGCGAGACCTCTCCCACTCTAATTTTCCACAATTTATATCCCAAAGCTCCCTGCAAAAAGCTGCAGTAAAAACTCCCGATGGTCCAACTTCTGCCCGAGTGCAAGATTTGATTCTTGAAAAAGAACACCAGGGGATTGTATATTGCAGAATTTCAAGCCCCCAAACGTATGCGTTTTAATATTTGAGGGTGTAGAGACCTTTAACCTAATTAATCTCATAAGTTCTTATAAACTGTCTCATTTGAGCTATACTTTATTAGTCAAGAGTAGCTCTATTAGGTAGAAACGTTTTCAACACCAAGATATATGAAAGTCAGTCTTAAGGTGAGGAGAGAAAGAGGTATTTCTACTCTTTATGGTGTTTACAGCGTCTTATATTATGGCATGATTTTGGGAAATATTGCTATCAAAACTAAATGCAAGGAAAGAAGAATACATTTTATGGTCATATTGAGATTATTATGGGATTCTCTCCTTATATTTCAGTTTGAATTCTTCCCTTAAATTGCTCTGTTAGTCTCCACATGCATTTTCCTCCTTTTTAGCTGATAGGTTGCTGACTTGAATGATCTCTTCTCTATGCTGGTCTCCTTGATTTTCTCCTAATGCTTCTGTCCTTCAACCTCTTCCTTTATTTGCTTACTTGCTGCAGCTGATTTGTTCTCCAATAGTAGGCAAGGTGATAGTGATGGAGATATTTTAGACATGGTTTGTGGAAAATGGAGGAAAGAATCAAAGCAAATATGTTTCTTTTTTTTTATTATTGCATAATAACAGATAATCATCTCATATCTTTTAATTCATTTATAGATTAATTAAACTTAAATTGTTTTACTTTAACTAGAAAGAGATTCCTTAGTTTGTGAAAAATCAAACATGTCCTTTAAACACATATTTCTAAAGGAGGGAGGGGCTGGGGTCCGGTCCCCTAAACTTTTTGAAGACATTTTAGATTAGGCTTTCAACTATTTTTTGAAATTAGAGTTAATTTGATCCTGTAACCTTTATTTTTACTATTTTCATCTTTAAATTCTTTGTTTCCTATTACTATTTTAGTTTTTTCTTTTATCTATTTTTCTTTCCATCTTACAACACTAATGGTAGAAAATTTTACTCATGTCGAATTTGGACAACGAAGTAAAGAGAGTTAACGACTGCTAGTGATCACAAATTATGGCAATCACTTCAGGCGTAAACCAAAGTAGAAAGTTTATCATAACAAGTGGCCAAATCCACTGGAGAATCTCAATTGCTCTACTAACTTCTACTTCCAAGGAAACTAGATAATCTTACAAACAACAGCCTCCACTAACAAAATGCCTTACCAAAGACGTGATGCACTAGCTCGAAAGAGAATTGGGGACTCCAATCTTTTTAAAACTTGTCAAATTAATGTGGGAGAAAAGTAGTAATTTTTTTAAAAATTTGAGTTTTAAATTCAAATAATATTGTTTCATTTAATTAAGACCTAATTCAAAATTTAAAATTCCATTTTATTAAATGTTAATACTTGTATTTAGAAACAAAATATCTAATTTAAAAATTAAAAATTTATCTTGTTAAATATTAATATCCATATTTAGATACTAATGATATATTTAATATATCATTAATTTTTAAATACAAATATTAATATTTAATAAATTAAATTTTAATTAAATAAATAATATCCTTTAAAATTAAAACTCTAAGTTTTAAAAAATTTATAATTGATATACATCTTTTTTTTCTTAAAAAAATACTTCTAATCCAAGTTTACAAAATACTTATAATCAAATTAAAAAGCGAAGCTCCACCAGTCACTGCTTTAAGATTGAAGTCTTTATTAACACAAGGAAGATCTTGCTCCAGTCGTACGGATGGAGCAATCTCCATTGGCAGCTTTGTTCACACCCACGAGATGGAAAATGCTTACTTTATTTATTTTTTTTTTTTTTATAACTTTTCCTGGAGCCAGGAAGGAAGCCATGTTACAAAATTTCCTCCTTTTCCTTTTCTTTCTCTTCAAGGATGGTCCCAAAAATGCAACAATGACAGCGATGAAAGCATAAAATTAGAGGGACATAAATCAATGTTCCTCCTTGGGACCACCCCTTTTGTTGCGGTAGTTTGAAGATTACCCATCATTGTTGATTCCTCATTGTCGGTATGATCAGTAGTTTTAATCAAGATTTACGGGTGAAATAAGACTAAATGGGGAATCATATGGGCCCACTTTTTTTAATATAATCATTTAAATTTAAGAAACTTAATTGACAGATGATTTTTTAATATAATTTTTTTATATAACTGTTAATAACCAAACAACTTATCAGTAATTTCTTTTGTGGAAAAGAATTAGATTATGAATTTGAATTATATGTTGATAAAGTATGAAAAAAAATATTTTTTATTATATAATCAAAATAAAAAAAATTCATATAACTTTATATTTTATTTAATAAATTTTTTTATTCTACTAAAAATTATAATATTATATATCTATTAATTAAATAATATATAAAAATTATATAAAATATTATACATAAAAATTATCCGTATATCATCATACTAAGTTTAATTACCCCAAGTTTAAACTATAGTTTTCTATAGGAATTTTTACGAAAAATGGATTGGGAGGGCTCTAGCACTCAGCTTGGTGAGAACCTCAAGCTGACGAGCTTCTGGTTTTGGTAAAAAAATCTATGCTAGTAAGAGCTAGTGACTTTCCTTTTATCAGTAAGGAAGCCTTACTTTTACAGCTCTATCTGGACGTGGTTGGAACTACCCATATTTTTGTTAAAATTATTTTTAAATTATTTAATTTGATTAATATTTTTTATTTTTATTTATTTTTTTAATAATTAATTATTATATTTAAAAATATTAATTTATAAATTAATTTTAATATATTAAATAATAAATATTAATTATTTTATCAATTATCAGTTATTTTTAATAATTAAAATAAATAAAACTAAATAATCTTAGCAAAATGATAGATGACCATAATCACATACCCTCCATTCACCTTATATATTTTTTTAAAATTTGGAACATTTAGTTGTAATTATCTACTTTTCTATTTAAAATTATTTTTAATAAATTTAATTTTATTTTACTTTTAGTTTAGTTATGATTAATTATAGATAAATAAAATTTCATCAATTAAACTTTTAACAAAAATTATGTCAACTTTAGTTGAACGAATGAGTCCCTTCTCTGCACAAAAATGAGTACGAAAGCAAAAGAGAGAACCATTAAAGTCATATACTCTCATAACGATAATAACTACCATTAGCATATTTTATGAAATCCCATGGTATGGGACCTACAACAGTTAAACTATAAAAAACTGAAAATTAGGACATCAACAAAAATTCGAAAACTAAAAAAAAAAAAAGAAAGGGGAAAAAAAGATCCAATGGTAGAAATTTTTCCAAGTAGCCACCAAAAATGGCTTCCAATTCAGCATGCTTCTATTGCCACTTCCACCTTCCTTGCACCTGCTTGGCCTTGGAAACTTTCCCATCCCGATTTCATTCTCACCATTTCCACTATTCCCCCTGTATCCCCTCCCCAATATGCTTCCTCCTCCTCCTCCTCCTCTTTCGCAGCGGCCGCCGCCTCCTCCTCTTCCTCCTCTTCAAGGCTTTCTTCTTCATTGTCTGAGATAGGAGGAGAATCCTTCACCAGGTAGAGCCTGAGCCGCCCCTCGCTGCGTTCAGCATGGAAGTAAGAGTGAGGTGAAGGCAGAGTAACGGCTTGGAGAACTAGCCGGCCGCCTTCACGGTGTGGCCTCATCTGAACACTGCTAGAACTGCTCATGGATGTCAGGGGAGGTGGAAAGCTGTTGCTCCGGTGCATCCATTTTGAATTTTGGCTCGGTTTTGATGGGTTGCCGGTTTCAGTTTCAGGTGAAAGCAGGGGAATTTCAATTTCATAGCTGTTCTCGCTAACGTCACTCCCGGTTTCGCTCCCCAAGCTCTCTGTGCACATTTCTAGGCTCTTCTCGCTCAGCATGGAAGCAGACCGCTTCACCGTCGGATGGATATAGACTGGTTCGTTCACGGCAGAATCTTTGATGGTGGTGAGGGATTGCAGGAAACTCCACCCACCCAAGTCAGCATTTCGGCTTTTCTTAGCGCTGTAATCATTGCCCGAAATGATGGCGGTGGTGGCCAATGTCGTCTTGGTTTGATAACTGGCCGTGGCAGGGGCAGCATCTCCGGAAGCGGTGAAAGTGGGTTTGGATGGACCTGGTTTGAGCCACAAAACACGTGGTTCAATGAACCTTGGCTCGAGGCATGATTGCAACCCTTGACAGACACTTGAGGACATTTTCTTATCTGCAATAAAAAAGGAAAAAACAGAGGAGAAAGCAGGGGAGCTTGATTATTTTGGGATTAAAATGAAAAAGCTTTCTTTTTCCCCTTTTTTTGTAATTTTCTTGTGATATCTGAGAATTTCAACTACAAGACCACGATTTTAATACTTTGAAGACAATTTGCGTGGGATTTGACTAAGGGGGGAAAGAGGAAGAGGAGGAAGCAGTTAGAAGTGAAAGGGGTGGATATGAATTTATAATGGGAGAGGAGACGAAAGATTATGGCATAGCCCCTCTATACCCCCAGTGAGGAAGCTTTTAATGCCACTAGTCATACACTTTTCACTCTACCACACATTATAAAGAAGATAAGTAAAGGAAAATAATAGTGTTAAGGCGAAGGCTCCAATACCGTATTTCAAATTTAAGGTCGTAGGTTCAAA